TACGCGCCGCTTAAAAGTGGGACAGCAGACAAGCCCTTCTATGGGAGCTTGTTTCTAGCCAATCGCGATCGGCTGTTCTCTCTTCTTCCTTATTCGAAAAACGTGCCGCGTCCTCCCATAACAAGGTGATCGCGATACAAATTTAAGGTGATCAGCTTTGGGACAAATGGCGCGGTTCATCGCGATCCTCCAAGGATATCCATTGTTCAGCCAAAAATCAAGGATATCGATGCGCGTAGCCGATAAGTTACGTTTTACCATACATAGAATACGTGGAAGGTGATTGAAAACCGGATGACAATGATGTCGAAAGCAGTTTCTCGCGATCGAGTCGAACTTTAATCGAGTCAAGGACGATCAGAAATCACGCGGCAGAAAGACGGTACCAATTGGGTCAAGTCAGTTGCCTTCGTTTAGAATTATTCTCATAATAAATCAGTCAAAAAGCGAAGGATAGAGATAAAAAAAAGTGTATTCCTAAGTCATTTATCAAATGAATATTACGAACTTTCGGTGTTTAACGTGTTTACAGAGATATAAATGGTAAAATAAATGGTAATGGATAAGTATGGAATATATTAGAGATATTCACTTGTACGTTGTAAAATGTAGAGTAAATGGTAAACGATGTTTTGGAGTAGATCAATTTATTTAATTTATCACGTTATAATTTAATGTTTTTCGAGCACAGCTTAAGTTATGTTCTCTCGCAGAATTAAATTAACGTTATTAGTAAAATTTCATGCAACGTTAACAAGTTCGCTAACGAATCAAACGAAATTTTCTAACGAATGTTTACGAATAACAAAGCATCCGTTGTCTCATTTGACGTAAATTTGACGTAAAAGAATAAGAAAGAGTGTAAAAGAGAAGTCTATGATCCACAACTGTATGATATACAATAGTGAACAAATATATTTTCCAGTCTTTAAATTATCTTTAAATTATTATCTCGTTTATTTTACAAATATAAGAAGATCAAAGTCGTTTAAAAACCATTACATCCATCAAATCAAACATGGTTAATATCCAAAGATTAGACTCAAAACTCGCAACATGATCTACTCGATCCATCGCCCTATCTAAACCTTTGCACTCCAAATTTTACTTCAATTTCGTTATCAGCAGCTCCCAACGCTATTAAGTATTTTATTTGAAATTCACTTTAACCAAAAAATAAGACAATTTAAATAAATAAAGGAAGAAACAAATTCACTTATATACCAGTTTTATTCACACTGTCGTTGTATTTTGTAGTTTTTAAGTGTATGATATATCTTGAAACAATTTCCAGTATGCAATCCTGGTTTTCTTGGTCGCACGTTTCACAAAAAAAGCGACTGAAAGAATGTCGAGAGGGACTCGACAAAGGAGCTCCTGGGATAAAAACTGATGTCGAGTCACACTCGATATAGCAGTGCAAAGGGTTGATTCTTATTTCACGGGCCCTTTTTCCACCAACGTCGTTAGTTCTCGATCCTCTTGTATTTCTGAAAAACAATTTGCTTATTGCATGGCCAAACTCTCGCCAAAGTTTGGTGACGCGGCACGCTTTAATATTTGTTCTCCGTGAACGTAAACAAGATCGGTCTGGGCGTGCGGTAAATTGCACCCGATAAATGTAATCTTGGTTCTCGCTAGATCGAAACGCTTGACCCGGATCGAACCGAATGCAACCGCGAGATCGGGGAAAATTGGTTGAGCGCTTATGATCGAGAGAGTAGCTTCGATTGCTAGCCAGTGATAGTCTTCCGCAACGATGATTTCTTGTACCTGATATTGCCTGTGGAATATCGCGAATACCAACAGTATCTATTACACGTTCGATTCGTAATAATTAAGCCTTCAACCGCATTCTGACGGAAAAAGATTATCGTGTTAACTTCAATGGGCCATGATATCATCGTGTTTTTTTGTACTGTATTAAGAGTTTCCTGGTGACACACCTACACAGAGTACGAATTTCGGCCGTGGTTGCCCACAGAAAAATATGAAAATTGCTCTGCACAGTTAATAATGCAGATTGGCTTTTTCAAACGCTTCACTGCTATTGTCCCATTAAAATATTTATTTTTCAGGTATTTTATAATCGGTTGGTGTTTCATGTTCGGCGCGATGGAAATGATCGATGATCGTTATACGTATGTTTTGCTATTAAAAAGAAAATGAAATACCCAGCGATATAGATCAAAGGCTAGTTAATAATATGACGTAGTAAGAAATGTTACAATGTTCATCCGCTGTTCGATGGTTTGAGATATTCCAGTCCTCGAATATTCATATTCGAATAATTTTCTTAAAGTTCTAGATGCGTAGAATATCGTCAAACATACGAAAACGATTTATTATTGTTATTAATAGAAACAGGAGTGTAGGCTGTACCAATTCAAAGTGATTGCGCGTCGAATCGATAAAATTAGCAAACGCGAACCGCGATTATCGACGATCCATTTTAATCGATATTCAATTTTATGCGGACTGTGTGGCGATTAGCGTGTGTGCACGCGCTCCAACCCATTAAAACAGAAAGCCGCGATGATTATTCGGTGCTCATTATTCTCCGAGGTGTTGTCAGGATTAATTGGAAGCTGGTTATATCGAATCGAATCCTGGCAAAAGAAATCCCGTTTGCGTGATTCTTTTATCTCATTGAGTAAGAAATTACGCGGCAATTGCATGTCTCTCTCTCTCTCTCTCTCTCTCTTTCTTTTCAAATCCAGCATCCTGTTACGATTAGTCAATTTACTTGAATTCTATTGTAGCAGTCTGAGATTAAATAATTTAACTTGGAAGGAAGTGGTTACGAATGAATGCTAAACGTTAATACTACGATTATAAATGTATTTCTATTCGTACTTCATTATAATAAAAATAATCGTTATATAATAATAATAAAAACCTGTTATATGTAGCGAATCGAAAATAACAGTTACTTCGAAAATTTGTCAGGGAACTAGTATCAATATATACGAAATTATATATAATACAAATATAAAAGAAATATAAAGCTGAGTAGTTGGAAGGACTTGAATTTCACTTGAAACTTGGAATTCATATTTCGAGCGAGCGAAATACGTAACAGGTTCACGCTGAAAGTGGTTTCAAATTGCTCGAAGTTAACTAATTCGGCCGGAATGCAAAAGCAAATAAAATATTTCATCGAGTTTCCATACTCGGTCTTATTACTCAGGCCGTTTGATTTCAAGTCGTTCGAGTTCAAGCAATGAGACTGGTCTGAAGGAAACTTTAAAGGCACGATACAACCTCGGATAAACCATCGTTTTGCATCGAAATTTGGCGCGC